GGGGAAAAAAAAAAGTCATTGTTCGGAGAAATGAATGGATAATGTGGAGTGTGTTCTAACCTTTGCACAAAGCGTCCACCTCCATGTCCAGGCCGAGGACCTCGGCGTGCGTTTGACGGGTCGCCTCTGTGCTCCCGCAGAGATTAAATTCACCGTTGAAGGTGGAGATCTCCCGCAAGAATTCTTGCTCCTCGTCTTTAAAGGCCGCCCTCATTCTGGCCTGGTGCGGGGAGGTCAGACCGCCAACGACACAATATGGGCATGAGCACCGCTGCTCCTGACAACGTGATGGGATGGCGTGAACCAACCAGGCGTTCTTGGAGGCGAGCCTTCTCGCTGAGGAGCTCCTCGCATTGCTTGGAAATCTGCTCGTCACATTTCTTCAACAAGTGCCGCAGCAGCTTCATGGTAGACAACTGCTGGCTCTGAAGCACAAACCACGAGCGAAGGTCAAATACAGGACGAGATGTGCAGCAAAGAGCAAAAGAGACTCCTCCCAAAAAGTGGGCACATTGGACTTTTGGGTGAAATTTCTGGATGGACTTAAAACGCAGCACAACCTTTACAACTGAACTTCAGTTGACCTTCTGTGAATTTTGGAATGTTGAATTTTGTCAGAAACATTTTCAGAAAAAGGTCAGACTAAAGATTCACTTGGTTGGATTTACAAGCACTCCAGACTAATCTGGACACATTGAATGCCAGCCAATTGGACATCATATGTCCCCTTTCTAGAAGGGAACCGTATCTCACAGATGCGTCACGTCCCTCGAGGTACGTTGTCACCAGGTTCGACGCTTCACATTTCATTATTGACCTTCGCCATCTCGGGGTCAGGTTCAAAATCAATAAAGCGCTCTCCTTGATGAAATCATCTCTCCTAAAATGGCCACGAATGGTTGGGAAAGACCAACAGGGTGATTTGACAAAACAGGCGGCTTTGAATGCAGTACATCCCGTTGCTGCAAAACTATAAGATGCCAAAGTTTCCATGTGATCGTAACTCAACGGGACGGCGTTTATTGTCTCGCTGCGTGATGACGCCGCTCTGCACCAAAAGCGAGCCAGTGGTACAAGTGTTCTTTCTGTAAGTGGCTCTTCAAAGTTTCCTCAGGTCAACTTTCCGCATCCATCACAAAGGCAGCGAGTTTATTGCTGCTAATGCGGTCACGCGGGACCACATGGGATCGTTGGAAGCCAATGGTTCTCAAAGTTGGGTTCGTGGATCCCCGAAGGTCCCCAAAAATCAGTTGCAAAAAAACAACAAAAAAAAGTTTATGGTATCGTTTCGGAAACATTCATAGCTTTCTACAGGGGCAGGCGCACCAGTAAAACATACAAGAGGTGAAACAATTAATTAATCGACAATTGTTCTGATCACCGATAATCCATTCATAACTTTGCTGCTGTGAATTGGGAATTTCTCCATTGCGAGACTAATAAAGGTTTTCTTATCTGATCTTATCTTATCTTATAATCGTTTTGAGACGTTGTTTAGCATAAAATTGTCCAAATCTCTGTTTTGTGTAGTCCCTCCACGAAAGCAGACTACTTATTATTTGTGTTGTTTTTTTGTTTTGTTTTGTTTTTTTCAAAAAAGCCATTCGCAGACATCTGTTGTTTTATACTCCGGGAAACAAAGCTCGACATTTTTCCTGATTTGCTGACATTTTATGCACCCAAAAAAAAAAAAAAAAAAAAAACCCTAATCAAATCAATTTATGTTTGTGTAAAGGAAAGTTTTTGAGTCGAGGAAAAATACTGTGAGGGCCCCCTGGATGCAAATCTTCGCGATCCCTTGATAGTCGCGGCGTCATTGGGCTTCACCAGCTGCTTTGGATGCCGCCACCGTTCATCAGGCGCGATGTAAAATACTTTTGTTTTCATTTTGTGATGTGTGAGGAGAGGTCGTTGTGCTCGCTCACACAAGCGCGCCGCACACACTTGACTCAGATGTTGCTCACGGACATCGCACTGGAAGATTTGCTGATCTGACAAGCAGTGGCTCAAGCAAGCTGATGCCAGAAATGGCATCTCATGCGCGCGCTACCAGCACTGGCTAATGTTATCCGCTGGAAATTAGGCATTGATCTCGGCATCGATCCACCGCCGCGCTCGTCTGACAGACGGGAGAGATGAAGTGTTTGAAATCATGAAGTGGGTCAGAAGGTCAATATGCCAATACGGCTGACTCTTGCTGACATGTCACTTGACACTCGCACTTACCGCCTCTTTGTATTGCGGTTTTATGTGATGTTCCTTATCATATTTCATCAAATTAAACATAAATAGGCCGAAAGAAGATCCCATGTGGGGAATAACGTCTGGTGAACTGCTATCCATTTGTGAATTTGTATTTCTTTTCTGTGGACTCTAGCAACTATTGACTTCCCGACAAAACAAACAATGGTAGTCACTTCGACAGATTTCATCTGTAAGACATTTTTGGATGGGTAATGTTGAGTAGTAAGTTGGAAATAATATTAGGGGTAAACCAATTAATCGGCCATCTGATTTTTTGGGGGCCGATATCGGCTCTTTCCAAAAATAATCACACGTCAATACATATTCCTACTTTCTTGTGAAACAGTGAATGCGGTTCAGCATGGGAGTCACTCAGAAAAGATGTCCTTGCGCTGTTTGCACACTAATGGGATGACTATCTTTTGTTGAGCGTTGCTCACCTTCGCTTCAAGTTCTTCAGTGATCTTCAGGTACTTTTCTGTGGCAGCTTTCACTTGAGAGTTGCATCTGATGATGGCTGCTTTCACTGCGACAAACATGAAAACTAAAATACTTGAACGTCCTTAAAAAAAAAAAAAAAAAGAAAAAAAAAGAGAGATGATACGTTTGGAGCCTTTGTGGGCCTTCAGAGATTTGAAAACACACAACTTAAAAAAAAAAAAAAAAGAATCATCTCGCCCTCAGATTGTTCCTCCACTAAGCAGGCTGGCATTTAGCATCTGAGAGACTCATTGGCTATAATTTCATCACAGCGGGCCAAGTACACAACTCACCTTTCTTTAATTGTTGAGACTGCACACTGTTGTGTTGTTCTGCCATCAGAATTTGGTGTAAAAGTTCGTCCAAACTCAAAGCGGATGTGAGGAGGTCTGAAGAAATGAGAGAGAGAGAGGGAGAGAGAGAGAGAGAGAGAGAGAGAGAGAGAGAGAGAGAGAGAGAATGTTTCAATACACGTTATTAGCTCACCGTTGGTGACATTGTAGGCTACACGCTTCAAAAGTGCAACTAAAATAGAAAACAGACCGCCGCATTCCATGTTTCACCAGGCTGTATAACACAACTAGCTCTAAGTTAATTAATTGAAAATTATTCATGTTGATTATATGTTGACTGTTTCTGTGTTTACAAGCTTTCCAATGACAGCAACTTTTTTTTTTGAGTGGGATCAAGGGGGCTACAAAAGCTTGAAAGTGGCATTTAAAAACAATTAGCATGAAACTGATGCATTTTCACCATTTTTAAATATTTATCACAAAAAATGATACTTAAATAGCTGTGAGCTCAATTAATATTTGAGACTTGACTTTGATTCTCTCCTCTTTCATCTCAAACTGCTTGAAACAACAAAGCGTGTGAGGGAAAAGTAGTTAAAGATTGCACGACTGTCCGTGTTTTATGTTATGTGTTGCGTTTATTATTTTACTTTATGTTAACTGTTTTGTTAAGCGCTTTGTTACAGCTGCAGCTGTTGTGAAAGCGCTCTATAAATCAGGATGTATTGTATTGTACAACACAAACCGTTAGCCGTGACACACCAGTTAAAGACGTCACAATCAGCATTGCAGCCTCCAGCTAATTTGCACTAATGCAACTAAAATGGGACTTTGGTGTTTTATATGTTACAATTTTTTTACACCAGTGCATGTTCAACGTTCGTACCACTATTGGTTGACGTGACTGGTGTCAAATGTTAGAAGCTAAGATGCTAACACTTTAGCAACATAACCAACGGCTAGCTGGTCTTCCATTCCTCGCCTTAACTTCGGTTTTGTGTACTACAACGCCACAAAGTCTTCCAGTCGTAAAAACATCATTTAAACCGAAGGCAGGTGATTTTGATGCCCCATTTTCACAGCTATAGACAGCTATAAGTCAATTGAGTGACATGTGACTCACCGCCGCCGCCGCGAATATTCCAGTTCTTCATTGCCATTTTATGGTTAGTTTAACGGTCGTGACACTGGAACTTCCTGCCAAATAATACACCCATCCTTCAGTTCGACACGGGACACTTCATGACGATCGAAACACTTGAGAGAAATACTGGAATTAATTTGTCGGTATTCGTAAATTAGGGACAAGGTGGTAGTCGTTCATCTCCTTGCAATTTTTTTAGAATTTGTTCAATGCATCTCAGCTTTCTTTCGTACTTATTTTAGGTAAGGTAAAGTAAGTTTGTCACTAGGTTATAAAATGCTTGCCTGTGAATGAGGAATAAGTGGTTTGGACAATAGATGCATGGAATTTTTAAACTTTTCATTCAAAACTAAAATGAGATTAATTTTTTCTGTTATTATTGATTTATTCTTGTGTATTCGTTTAATTTGAATGATCCACCCTGAGCTTTGTCGGGGTGCTTTACCGAAAAGAAACGATAGATGGCGGCAGTGTCCACTGTGTTACGGCCTGCTTTGGACGCGTATGCAGTATACTGTACATATAATGTGTGTATATGTATATATATCTGTGTATGTATGTATGTATGTATGTATATCTGGTTCGTAATAAATATGCAGCTGAAAGATGTCCAATTACAACCAAAAGTAACAACCCGACTTCAAATACTTCCCACAAATGCAACTCTGTTGTGTGTTTTGTTTTAATAGGTGTGCAAATGAGGTCGGTGCTGGAGAGGGAACTTAATGAAACACTTCATAAATGCTCCGAATGGTCCTTTAGAGTGCGGCAATGATACTTTGAAAGAAGGTGGAGTGGGTGGGGGTGAGGGGGTTCTTCTTTGGCAGGTTATTTTCATTACGCGCGCGCTGGGACCGCGGTGCTCATTAAAGATAAATATGTATTTGTGCTAGTAACACGGCCGCGGCGCGCAGACTGGCAGCGCTTCTCGGTCTGCTCGGGCTCTCTCAGCTTCTTCTGCTCATCCTTGTGGTTCTTGCGTGCGCTGCACGCATTGGTGGTTGCGCACTTGAGGGGGAAGCTGGCGCGCTCCTGCTGCTCAATGCGCCACTTGGTCAGACGCGAGCATCCCGCCGGACGAGCACATTTGGACTTGCACAGCTTTTCCAGCGTTACTTGCTTCCAACAAGTACTTGCGTGAAAAGGGGATTGCTTTTGATTTCGCTTCCAAATATGTGGCAATGGAATTCCTTCCCGTGGATTTAAAGTGAGCCCAACTTTGCGCTTTTTCTTCCAAGGAGGCTGTTTCTTGTCGCGTGTGAGGAGAGGATGATGCTCGCTGGACTCTGTCTTCTTCTGCCTCTTTTAGGTACACGTTGGCCTCTTTCTTTCTTGGCTTCATTTGTATTGCTTTGCACTCGGCTGCGAGGCTGAAGCCTGATTCAAGCTGGAGCAGCTCCCACGGTTCGTTCGCAGGTCCCAAGTGCGCGACGTCAGAAACACAAAGTCAGCAAGAGATTATTGGCCTTGTCAGGAGGATCAACTTTTACCCACTGAAGTTTGAATACTTGTAGTGTTCCTGGTCACTTCACTTTGCAACTGTTCACATTTGATAGGAAAGCTTGCGCATTTTGGAAATGTGACGGTTAAAGGGCTGCAACTGGCGAGGCTTCTCCCAATAGCTGCACCGTGACACGGCGGCGACTCAGAAGTGTTTCTCATGTTTCCACCCTGTCGTGCAGCTCAACGAGACCACCAACATACCACAGACGCTTGTACAAAGACCCGATACAAAACGTGTCGTTCGAGAAAACCATGGATGACAATCTCGATGCTGTGTCCCAAAACAAAAAATGGCAATCCTGTGATTCAATATCATGCAAATGAAAAAAAAAGTTCTCGTCCTTTGAGCCTTTCCGCGCATCTGTCTGCCGAAATAGCAGAAACAGCGGAGAAATAAGTGTCGTTCTAGACATGACGACGCCATTATTGTGTCCAAAAATTTATTATTCAAACAAAAATAGTGACACTGGGAAATCGCATTGCAAAGTGTTTCTAATAGTTTGACGCTTTCATGTAGCTATGAAAAAAAGATATTTCAGAAACATTTTGACAAGACATGATACAAAATATTTTGCTCCAGATAATGTTGTTACGTTTACTTTTACACTGAGAATTGTTCCGAATATTTTGATGTTTTTATTTAGCTAAATAATGTAACCAGAATATCAGAAACAAAAAAAGCATAGTTACAGATTACAATACATGAACATTTCGTCTGAATCGAAACAATTGAACAATTGAATTGAAAAGTGTTTACATATTTTGAATTAGATTGAAAAAAAACGGTTTCTTGAAAAACAGGACACTATTTCAAATAAACAGTGCAGAACATTCACAAACATGAATTGGTTGATCATTGTTTACCAAAGTAAAAGTAAACGTCTGAAAATGTTTAACGTTAATGAAACACAAATACAATGAGTCTGTTTTTCATGGAGGACTGCAAAAAGAATATTTACTGTCGAGAGGGTAAAATTGCAACAATTTGCGGTTGAACAATGTTTCTAAAACTATGAATCGATTCTCAAAATAGTTGCCGCTGAATCAATTAATTGTTGCACCTGTAATTGATCTTCGCGTGGTTTTAATGGCAACAAAAATTTATTTTGCTCCATAAGGGGTGGAGCTTCGTGTTGCGCCTGTAATTGATCTTCGCGTGGTTTTAATGGCATCAAAAATTTATTTTGCTCCATAAGGGGTGGAGCTTCATGAAATTTGGTCATAGCGTTCGCTCGTAAAAAAAAAAAATGTAAAAGTTCCCTGCTGCCCCCTTGTGACCACTCGAGGCAATTACAAATCTTTTTATGTGGGGGAATTTTCGCAAGATAAATGACAAAATATCCACGCCCCGAGTTTTTGCATCGTTTGTAATACTTTTATTATCAATTGAGTGATCCGTGAGTATGACGTGGCGCAAGAACAAGAAAACGTCAGGGTGTGCCTAATCAAGTGCCCCTCAACCTTTCCAGATGGGCTGCACGGGGCCGAGGAGGGCGGGCGGTCGTCGCGCGTGGACTGCGTGCGGGCCAGCGAGCAGTGCCTGAAGGAGGCGTCGTGCAGCAGCAAGTACCGGACCATGCGGCAGTGCGCCGCCGGCGTCGCCAAGGAGGGCAACTTCAGCGGCGTGGCTCGGCGCGACGCCCAGGACGAGTGCCGCAGCGCCGTGGACGCGCTCAAACAGAGCCCGCTGTACAACTGCCGCTGCAAGAGGGGCATGAAGAAGGAGAAGAACTGCCTGCGCATCTACTGGGGCATCTACCAGACCTTACAAGGTGCGTCGGTCAGTCCGTCTGTCCGGAGAGGAGTAGGCCTCCACTGCCCGATGACACGTTCTCGCTCACCCAACAGTCCACGGAGGCAGGCCAAGCTACTCGGTCTCACCTCCTCGGTATCCATTTCATTTCCGGCACCGCTTATCCCGAACAGGGGTCGCGCGGAGTGGCTGGAGCCAATTTCGGCTGACTTTGGGCGGAAGGTGGACGACACCGGTCGCCAGTCAGTCTCAAGACAAAGAATACAAACATAGTATCATTCCAATTTACTTTTCCTCTAAAAAAAATAAAAAGGTAGAACAAAAATATATATCTGTGAATTTACTTTAAGGCCGTATCAGCCAGCCTTTAATCAAAGTTGGAAAAAGCCCAAACGTAGCACAGATCTTGTGATCCACAAGCAGTCCAGCGCGATCATGACCAATGACTTGGCCTCCCTTCAAAAATCGACCCCCTCTCACCCCCTTTCACGCAATCCTGCGAAGCCGAGACGCACTTTGACCTCCGCAGTCACTGTCTGCGGACATAATGAAGCTTGAAGGCCCTCAGCGCTGGACAGTTCCAGCCTAAAGGCCGCACCACTCCGAAAGGAGGAGGATGGATCGTGAGGGAAGCGGGCCAGGGGGTCGCTCGGTGCTTGTGAGTGTGTCGGGGGGGCAGGGCACCACTGAGGGGGGGCAAAGAGTAAACTCGGTGCCGTCCCTGCGAGGCGACTCGCAGTTGTGCAAGGCTGCTGACCAAGCTGCCTAATCGAGCGTGAGGCTGCGGGCCAGCGTGGATATCGACTGACCTACATAAGCGCGTCACAAGCGGGACAGTCATAAACAACACGCCGACACGCAGACAAGACACGTCTATGCCTCGACCGACCAGTGGCTCCAATGGCCAAGTAACTTGCGTTCAGATACTGCGGCGATATTTTGGGGCTCACATCCATCGCTGTCGAGCCGTGAAACGTTTGTCACTCATGGCGCAAATGCCATCCAGCCTTTTTTGGATGCCGTCCGTCCTCCCAACACGGCCGGTTCAAAGGGTCGGCGCATCAACAAGCTTTGCGCAAGCTTTTTAACCAAAAGGATAGCATCAGACAGCTAGCATGATATCTGATGCCGCCATTTCCATTTTGCATCATAAGGGACCGGGATTGGTCACAACATTGTCCCGATCGGTCTGTCGGCGAGCGCGCGGGTCCGTCTTCCTGTCGACCGGTCGTATTTCTGGAACGGTTTGTGCTCTTGTGCTTTGCATCGGTTGCGTAGAACGAAAGCTCTCACGATGACACAAACTCAGCATTCCTTGTCAAGGCACAACAATTGCATGAAACGGCGTGAGTCGCAGCGTCTTCGTCACACGCCTGTCTCTAACTTGCCCTTCTCCCCGCCAGGTAACGACTTTCTGGAGGATTCTCCCTACGAGGCCGCCAACGGTCGCCTGGCGGACATTTTCCGCCTGGCCCCCATCATCGGTGAGTGGGGTCGATGCCTTTCACGCCGTCTCTGGGTCGTTTTGTCCCGCGCTCCGCTCCGCGCCGCTCTCGGAGCCTCCCGTAGTTTGTCCGCCGTACATCCGCACCCTGCCCCCAACCCGATAATCCACCTCCTCTACCCGGCCACGCCGCATGGAAGTGATCCCGCATGGTGGAGAGAACTTCTGAGTCTCATTGCGCAGTGACGAAAAACATAAGATGGCGGTTTGTGCGGCGCGCAGTCGACCGCAGAAGTACTCCAACGCTCTACTTGGACGACTGTACTGACCGATTCAACTCCTTGACTTCAAGAGGGATTTGCAGCGTTAAAACTGCTCAGAAGATTGAAATGTAGCTTCCAGCCGTACATGCACATGAGTCTTTTAGTTCCCACCGCGGAACTCTCCATGTTGCCAGCACGTCGAGATGTGCGTCAGGCGTGCAGATGAGCGTCTTGCGCTATTGCGCTCTTCTTCGCTTGCGCGCTGGTGTCTTGAGCCTGTTTCACGAGGCTCGTGATCACCGCCGCAGGCTAAGATCGCCATATCAAAGACACGTCAAATCAAAGTGACGCACTCGGCCTCCTCATCCACAAAGACGTCCTTTTAGGAGGCTGGGCTGCCCTCAAAACAACGACGACGCCTCTGCCACTCGTACGGGCGACATCATAACGTGGGTGGTTGCAGGATAAAAAAAGGATCACGTGTCCATTTTGAGTATCCCGTTGAGCATGGAGGAGGCCGCGCACAAAATCCCAATATGTTCCATGGCGGTGGCGAACTTGTGTCTTTAGAAATTACTTTTTGCAATGACTTGATGAATCGGGGTGGGGGTGGGGGGGCATTTTTTAATGTCCATCCCTTTACGCAAAGACAGGACATTATTTATTTCCAAAGTAATCGCAGATCTTTGCTGGCATGCTGCAGTTTGTCCTCAATTCAAAACCGGTCTCACTCCAGCTTCTTTTCATCTTTACTCTGCACTTTGTATTTTTCCCGCAGCCTGTTTCTGCAGCAAACCGGAACTGTGTGCTCATGGTGTGTTGTCGTTACTTGCAAACGGTCTCATGCAAAGTCTTCCCGTTTAGTCTCCGCATTGACCTCCGGCAGCTTGTTTGGGCTTCTTTTATATCTCGAGTATCCAAACTTTTTTTGCCGTTTGAGGGCCGCGTACAGAAAAATGGAAGGATGAAAGGGCCACTTTAACATGTCATTTTTAGGATTTCATATATTTTATTTTTTTGTCATGATGCGGGCCGCTGAAAAATGGGTGGTGGTTCGTAAATGGCCCTCCGCTCTTAGTTTGGACACCTCTGGATTAGTTCAATGTCGTCAGCATGCAGTTGGTCTTGCGTGGCTGTAATTTTTGGACTTCAAATTTGGTTCACAGCAAGCTGTTGTCCTGTTGCCGTTCTTTTTTTTGAATGATCTGGCAGCCCGTTTAGGCAGTGAGCTATTCAGCCCCGAATCACCTGTCGAGTGCCGTTGTGCGTTCTATTCCTCTGGTTCAAAGCGGTCTCACAGAAAGCTCCCTTCCCTGTTTACATTTCTTCGGCATCCTGTCGAGGCAGCTAACTAGGTGGGCCTGAATGACTGACCGTCACGGCACGCGCTTGCGATTTCTGTAGTTGAAAGCCGCTTCAAACCGCCGAGCCCCTCGTGCGGCCGAGTCTGCTTTGATCCCTACGGCGGCCCGTTGAGGCAATGACGCACGCTTCCCGTTCCTGCCAAGTAGACGGCCAGATTGAAAACGATGTCGGTCCGTTGCGCCAAAGAGCCTTTTAAAAGAAACACTCTTTGGAAGAAGTATGATGAGAGAAATGTCAAAGTCAGGCTAAAAAAAAAGTGACATAATGGAGCGTCTGGGCTGCAGCCAGCCGTGTCCTGCTCGGGCTGCGAGCTGAGGATGATGATGACGAGATTGACATTAGAGCTTCCTCAAAGTGCCACTTAGGAAGATTCTCTTGTGCTCGCGAGCCGGAATGCAACTTCCTCCCGGACATTGTCAAGTAAGCGTACAAATTTTCACAAGCACATGTCAAATGACAACTTAATTGAGAAAAGCTCCGATTTGAAAGATTTGTGTCCGTGTCCCAACATTTATGAAGCCACCAGTGTGGTTGCGGAGCCCCCGCCGGCCGTACTTTTCCCACCCCTGCTAGAGTTTGGATTAGTAGCAATCCAGCCTCTGCTTGGGAGCAATTTATTTTCCAACCTGCATGTTTGACAAGCCTCCCTGCAGTAATTACAAACCGCTTCCCCGGCTTGTTAGGGATGTTTTTTTTTTTTTTTTTCCTTTTCCTCGCTGGCTGGCTGGCTTGCTGTGTGTGTGTGTTTAAGTGTGTTTGTCTCGCCCCCTCGCTCCTTAATCTACGTCCTCCTCCACATCTTCCTCCTCCATTTTGGCTGCCGGCGGAGCATCACCCACTCGGCGTGTCGAGACGTCAAAACCGCCGCGGCAACATCTGTTAGGGGGCGGCCGCCGGAAGCCGAAGGGCCGTGGCAAAGTCCTTCTCAATAAGCGGCAAACTCATTCTCGGCCTCGTCAATTCGTTTCCACAGAAGTCACGTACGGTGGGGCCTTGAGATGCCAACGGAATTTCTTCACATCATCTTTCCGATTGCCGTTGATCACAGGCCCCTGATGAAAAAAAAATACAATAATTGTAATCCATCCTTTATCCGAACCGCTTATCCCACGATGTGCTGCAAAATAGCACCGTATAAAATTGTGCCTAAAAAAAAATAATAAAACATTCATGTAATCAAATAGAATGTCCCAAAAAACAGTCATTTTGACTCCGAGCGGAGGTGATTTGGCCACCGGCTGGCAGAACACTGCAGGAAAACAGACACGACCAAAGAAGAATTCCACAACTACTGCAAGTGACCCAGTGAACTGCAAGAACATTTTTCTCAGAGGAGAAAGAATATATGCTGGTGAAGATCAAATATGGAGACCATCTCACCTCCTCAGTAGAGCACTACTATGAGCTCTTCTTTGCAGAGGATAAAGAATTGTGACTGTTATAGCATCTGTGTCGGTGTTGCTCCAAGCCTCTGTAGGTTAAACCAAAATGAAAAATGCAACACAAAAGGAAAAATTAATTAAATGCCAGACATTTTAGAGCCTTCTAAGTCATTTTAAAAGAACCACCGGTGATTGCGTTCAATCCCAACATGCACACCAAACATACCAAACGAAAAAGTGGACTGTTTCTTCTCACCAGAAAAGGGCATTTCAATTCATCAGGAAGTCAAGGCACCACTGTAGATGTTCAGTATAATCACATCATCATACCAGTACATCTTTTCTTTGGATATGTACTTACGTTGCTGTTCGGAAGTTTCGCTTTCACAACTCTTGTTCGGCGGACATCGAGAAGTCATTTTGTTGAAAAGAAAAAAGAAAAATTGGTCAAAGTTGACATTTTGGAACATCTTTACAACAAATCCATTTCGCAAGAAACATGAACGAGAGACTTTGCTGAGCGGGCTGCATAAAATGTGATGGGGAGGAGTGGCGGGGCGGGGGGGCGCATCTGACCCCCCCCGGCCCTTTGACATTTGAGCATTACAGGCTGCCAATGTGCAGAGATAAGGCGTACGTGCGTGTGTGTGTGTGTGTGTGTGTGTGTGTGTGTGTGTGTGTGTGTGTGTGTGTGTGTGTGTGCGTGCGCGTGCTCATGGGAGATAAAGTCAGGATGGGAACGCGGAGGAGTTCCAGAGGTAGAAAGAGGATTTATTTTGCCACGAAGAAGCATCACGCCTGATCTTTCCGCATATTTTTTTTTTATTTTTCCTCCCCCCGGAATTCACACTTGGCTGACTGACAACATGTTGAGTCTTTGATGTGCTTCACGGAGGCTCACCTTGGCAACGTCCTGGTTTACAAGTGGCGCATGTCACTTTACGACTCATCCCGGCAAACTGGGGTGACTTGCGCTTGGCCGAGTTTGTCACTGGACGAGCCCCAAATTGCCGCTTCAAACCCAAATGATTGATGGAGGATTTGCTTTTCCAAGTGGAAGGAGAAAACGCCATTACAACCAGAAATCTGATTTTTTTGTCTCTGATAAAGGCCAGGTTACTAAAGTCCATTCATAAAACCCATTTGAAAAAAAAAAACCTTGATTTTTTTTTTTTTAAGCACGAGAGCGATAATCCATCAGAATCAGGAAGCCCAAAAATCTGAGCAGTACTACCTAACACTATTCTCAACCCACCTACAAAACTGTGTTGAAAAAAAGCAACGATTTGGATGGTCATTTGTGTGTTTTCAAGCAAAAAGTTAAAATGGAAATTTTTTTGTGCAACAAAATCCAAGATTTTTTTCCAGGTCAATTAGGAACCCTAAATTAATCTATTAAAAAGATGCAGCAAAGTAACCTTATAAAAACTGCACTCTCTTTATTTTTTAGTATGACTTATCATGGTAGGTTGCCGAATCGGCTCAAAACAGACTTTGTTTTGCTGGGGGTATTTTTTTTGGGGGGGGGGGGGCGATCGCAAAGTTGGGGGGCTTTGGAAAAATCATCGGATGGGACACGTTTGTCAAGCTGGTGTCGCCATTCCACAATTCGCGCGGTCCCCGCGGCCGTCCGAGTTGATCTGGTCTCCTCCTCTCCCAATCGATAGCGCGCTGTGTTAGATTGGAAACTTGAGGCCGTGTCTACAAGAATCTATTGATTTCTCTCTCTCTGGGGGTGGAGGTGGGGGTGGGGGGGGGTTATAATTTCCCTCCCGCTCGGCCCCTGCGATCTTACGGTGGCTTCCAAAGCACTCACCTTGTGCGAGGCCCGCGAGGAACACTCGCAGTCTGGCGGAGGAGGAAGCCACCCAGTCGGGATTGGCTTTCGCTGACCTTGTCTCTCCGTTGTTCCACTCTTTGTTTTTATTTATTTCATTATTTTTGTTTTACGGTGGGGGGCATAGGAGCAGCCGTGTGGTGCTGATCCGGGAGAGGAGAGGCGTCAGCAGATTCTCAAGACGATGCAGTTG